CAGATTCCTGTGCGCCGATATCTTTTTTTGGTGCTCGACAATCTCTTTTAAAGTGACCTTGCTTTCTTTCCCGTTTTGAAGTTCTCCCTCTAGATTCCGTGTGCAAGGCTGAGGAGCTTGATGCTTTACCCGATTCTCTCCATCGAATTTCTTCACTCAATACAAGATCCCGAACATCGTCGAATTTCAATTTACTGTTTCCCGACGAGCTGTTGACTACGGTAACAGTAGTATTCCAATTTTCTGGTAGAGATGATAAGATAATTAAAGCTCAAACTTTATCATCGAATTCAATTTTCACGGAACTCAACTGGGTTGTGATTGTGTTGAGTTCATTTAGATGTTGAGCCACTAATTCCCATTCTGCCATCTACAAATTGAATAATTGTCTCATCAAGTGATCTTTGTTTGAGGTCATTGGCTTCTCATACATACTGGAGAGAGCCGCCATAAGACCCGTCGTGGTCTTTTCCTTTGCTATGTTGAAAGCAATATTGCGGGATAACGTCAGTCGGATAACTTCGAGGGCTTGTCTGTCGATAAGAGCCTAGTCTTCATCCTCCATACCCTCTGGTTGTTTTCTTGAGAGATGTTAATATAGCTTTTTCTGGTAGAGAAAATCTTCAGTCTGCATCTTCCAAAAGCCAAAGTTCGCACAATCGAACTTCTTAATTTTCACTTTCCCTTCGTCTGCAGCAATCGCTCCCACTCGAATATGGCTTCTTTTAGATCGTTTCTAACAATTTATGCGAACCACCGTGTATTAGAACCTGACAAAATAGTAATTTACTATTCACAAAATTTACTATTCAAAGAATTCACTATTCATGTAAATAGTAATCTCGCAAAAAAAACCTGACAAAATTAACCACAAAAAGCTCTGATGCTAGTTGTTGGGAAATTAAACGAGTAATTTTTCTATAACCAGATTAGCGAGAATACGAAATAAAAGCTGAATAATAACACGAAATTTGATAACGGAGTTCGGCTAATTATGCATACGTCTTCAGACTGCTGCAAATCTTTTACTAAAGTGAGAAAATTTATAAGTGTTTACAAAAACACTCACAACTCACAACCCAATTACACCCTGAAAATTGCACTCAATTTTCTCTTACTAAAGCTTTTCTATCTAAGCTTTTCTTTTGTGTTTCTCACTTGGATTTTAAAGAACCTATTGGGGTGAGCTATTTATAGATGCAGAAGCCCCCCATTCTATTTCTAACAACTAATTCATTTAATTAGTTTTCCTTATTTTCAGCAAAAGATGCACCGTCAATTGGGTTGTTGGTTTGGCAACCAATTTGACAACCAATTTCTCATATTGCTATTTATTGCACCTGCAAGTTTGACAATTTGACAACCAATTTCTCCTATATTTCATTTATTGCAGCTGCAAGTTTGACCAACAGTATTGTATGATCATTCTTCGTTTAGTTACTTATCAGCAGGTTTAGTAGCCTCCCCTCCTCCTGTGGTCCCTTCAGCTTTTGTAGTTCCGCTGGTGACCGCCTCAGCCTTTGCAGCCTTCCGATTTGCCCTCCGAGCTGCTATGCTACCTTCGAGCATCTCCTTCATCTTGAGCTGACCTTCAATCACTTTCTCAAGCCGCTCTCACTCACGAGCTTCATTTTCTTGACAAGAATTCAGTTGATCCTCATTCACACGAATGCAAGCCTTCAGACGGTAAAGCTCTTTGTAATCAGGATCCATGGTTAATTTCTTTTCAACCTTTTACTTGGGGATTTGGGATTAATACGAAGAAGAAAATCATGGATGGGGCCTATAAATAATACTAAGTGGTCCTCACCACGTCATTTATTCTTTTGTTTTGTTTTTCAACGGCTTAATATCAAAATAAGTGAAAAAACAAAACAAAAGCATAGATGACGTGGTGGTTGCCTTGGGCAGGGAACCACTTAGTATTATTTATAAGCCCCACCCATGGTCTTTTTCTTCGTATTAATCTCAAATCCCCAAGTAAAAGGTTGAAAAGAAATTAACCATGTATCCTGATTACAAAGAGCTTTACCGTCTGAAGGCTTTCAAGCGTGTGAACGAGGATCGACTGAATTCTTGTCAATAAAATAAAGCCCGGGAGAGAGAACAGCTTGAGAAAGTGATCGAAGGCCATCTCAAGATGAAGGAGATGCTCGAAGGTAGCATAGAAGCTCGGAGGGCAAATCGAAAAACCGCAAAGGTTAAGGCGGTCACCAGCGGAGCTGCAAAAGCTGAAGGGACCACCGGAGGAGGGGAGGCTACTAAACCTACTGATAAGTAACTAAACAAAGCATGATAATACAATACTATTGGTCAAACTTACATGTGCAATAAATGACAAATAGAAGAAATTGGTTGTCAAATTGTCAAACTTGCAGGTGCAATAAATGGCAATAGGAGAAATTGGTTGCCAAGCCAACAACTCAATTGACGATTCATCTTTTGTTGAAAATAAGGAAAGCCAATTAAATGAATTACTTGGTAGAAATAGAATGGGGGCTTCTGCATCTATAAATAGCTTACCCCAACAGGTTCTTTAAAATCCAAGTGAGAAACAAAAAAGAAAAGCTTTAGTGAGAGAAAATTGAGAACACTTTTCAGGGTGTAATTGGGTCGTGAGGGTTTTTGTAAACACCTGTAAATTTTTTCCCTTTAGTAAAATATCTACAGCAGTCTGAGACGTAGGCATAATTGGCTGAACTCTGTTGTCAAATTTCGTGTGTTATTAATCCTCTTTTATTTCGCATTCTCACTAATTTGGTTATAGAGAAATTACTCGTTTAATTTTCCAACAACTGACATCAAAGCTTTTGGTGGAGAATTTTGTCAGGTTTTTCTGTGAGATTACTATTCACGTAAATAGTAAATTTCATGAATAGTAAAATTTGGTCGGCGATACGAGTTTGTCGACGGAGGTGTTCTAATACAAGGTGGTTCGTAGGAATTGTCAGAAACGATCCAAAAGAAGCCATATTCGAGTGGGAACGATGGCTGCAGACGAAGGGAATGTGAAAATTGAGAAGTTCAATGGCGCGGACTTTGGCTTTTGGAAGATACATATTGAAAATTTTATGTACTAGAAAAAGCTATATCAATCTCTCTCAGGAAAGCAACCAGAGGGTATGGAGGATGAAGACTGGGCTCCTCTCGACAAACAAGCCCTCGGAGTTATCCGACTGACGTTATCCCGCAATGTTACTTTCAACATAGCAAAGGAAAAGACCACGACGGGTCTTATGGCGACTCTCTCCAGTATGTATGAGAGGTCATCGACCTCAAACAAAATTCACTTAATGAGACAATTATTCAATTTGTGGATGACGGAAGGGGCATCAGTGGCTCAACACCTAAATGAACTCAACACAATCAGAACTCAGTTGAGTTCCGTGAAAATTGAATTTGAAGATGAAGTTCGAGCTTTAATTTTCTTATCATCTCGACCAGACAGTTGGAATGCTACTGTTACAATAGTCAGCAGCTCGTCGGGAAACAGTAAATTGAAATTCGACAATGTTTGGGATCTGGTATTGAGTGAAGAAATTCGACGGAGAGAATCGGGTGAAGCATCAAGCTCCTCAGCCTTGCACACGGAGTCTAGAGGGAGAACTACAGAAAGAAACTCAAATCGTGGCAGATCGAAATCTAGAAGAAGAAAATCAAGAAGGGGAAAGAAAGATTTTAACTGTTATAATTGCGGCAAGAATGTTACTTTAAAAGAGATTGTCGAGCACCAAAGAAAGATACCGGCGCACAGAAATTTGCCAACGTGACAGAGGAAACAGGTGATGCCATGATTCTAAGCTTTTTATTAAGTGAAATTTACTGTATTTGTTCATATTGTTCGATGTTTTTTTTGTTTAGTATTTTATATTGATGCATCAATCGAAACACTGAAGGGATCAATTTAACTGTCTAGCTATTTTTTACTTCTTGGCTCTTATCCGTTATGTACATTCTTCAATATAAGGTGTAGGCTGAATCCTCTCGATTGCTTAAAGTTTTTATATTTATTTGATGTGCTTGGCCAAGAATGGTGTAGGTAAAGATGCGCTGTGTAAATAAATGTTTCATTTGTTTCAAACTTATTCAGCTTGTGCGGGAATTTAAACATCCTGATGGCATGACAGATAAAGAGATGGATGCAGCTGGAGATGGTGAGGATTATTAATGTCATTCTGATTGGTGATTTATTCCTATTGAAATGGAAAAGTATCTGTCTTTCCATAAACTGTTGTTATGAAAATACTTTTGTAGTAATACTAAGAGAATAAATCAAGAGGAGGACAGAATAATTGAGTTAATGCAAAATATCTAAAATTGAAGTGGGAGATTACAGTTTAAATAGACCGAGTTGCTGACTTCTTATAGGACTTTTCTTTCTAAAGATAAACTTCTATCTAGGTTACAAAGACTCCTAAGACTTATCTTTCATAAAAGACTCCTAAACAAATAAGACTAATACTACTATTACACGTATGCTTCTGATAACTCTTTTCTTTTTCTTTTTTTATAAAAGAAAGACCTCATTAGAGACCCCCTTCATGTCCTACATGTTTATATCAGAAACATGAAGGACATAGGAAGGAGGACTAGAGCATCTGAGGTAGATAAACATGGTGATGTTTTGGATTTATGTCAGGTGATGTTTTGATGGTTTTGGATTTACGGCCAGATGAATCATTGTTTGAAGCTGGCATTGCACGTGAGGTAGATAAACATGGTGCTAATAGCATCGTTAATTCTAATTCAAAAGGATGTTGTACTTAGTAATCTTCTTTCTATTCCTTTTGATTAGCAATTCTGTTTGTTGAAATACGATGACATATTTGTTGATATACCAGATTCTGGTTAACTAGATTTGTTTTTTATTATGGAGAAAGCCAGTTGAATATTTTTTGGTAATATTTTCTGACATTCGACATTTTAACTCAATTTATTGCAGGTTGTTAATAGAATTCATAAAACACAGAAGAAAGCTGGTCTTGAGCAGACAGATATGGTGGGGGTCTACTTTGAGTCATTGGATGAAGACAAGTGGGTCATCCATCAAATATTGAACTCACAGGTAAGTTTTGACTTAATAAATCCACCGACGGATCTGTTGTACTTGCTAATCAATGATTGGCTAAATCTCTGTCGGATTTTTTCATCGAATGAAGCTGTGTATCGACGTACTTGTGCATGAGTGACAGTTTCTGCGAGCTGTTATCGTATCTTTGTGTAAGATTTTTGTTGCCTGATGAATAGTGCTAGTCCTCAAGTTAGTGGTGGAGTTGCGTTGTTGATAGTCATGCGAATGCTCAACTTCTCGTACGTCTTAATTTGCAGTGTACTGTGTATAATATCTCAAGGTTGCATTTTATTGCAGGAAAACTATATTAGGGATGCCATTGGATGTCCGTTGCTTTCCTCCGACAGTATGTCACCCCATACAGTTAAGTTTTGATCATTTTGAGTATGAATTATGAACTTGTTGATTTAGGAGATTAACATTGATTCAACGTCTCTGTTCCTAAGTGTTATCTGATGCAGTTATTGTTGTTTTCTTATTCTCGGAGTATGAAATTTCTTATATTGCCTTCATTTCTTATAAAACAAATTAGTGTCCTAATATAAAATAAATCCTGCGTCCGGCAATACGTATTTGTTTTGTAGGATCATATGGAAGGAATCGATTATAGGTTGTTTCAACTGACCTTATAATGTGCTTCTAGAATTGCTCCCCTTTCATGGGTTATTTTAATTATATCCGTGTCACACTCTCCCACCACGCGAGTTTCTTGGACGTATCTTCCAAGTTGCTGCTCAACCCAACTTGTCTTCTCGTCCCCACTCGTTAATCCTAATTAAATAAGTTTTTAATTATATCATCAACCAATGAAAACAGTAATAGTTGATCGAAATTTTAATGTTAAATATTTGTTAACAAAATTCATTTTAAAACCACATTGTTTGAATGTAAACTACTGATGGTGACTCGAATTGCTTATAAAACGTTAACAATTATAGAGATTTTACTTTTAAATAAAGAATTATTGTTCGGATAAAACATTTAAATTTTATCATCGACTAACATTTATTCCGGAAGCACTAAGTCTTATTGATCATGGACGGTTTAAGGTTGTTGAAATATGTTTTCGATTTTTTGCAGTCTCCTGATGAATTTATCAACACATGTGAGTGGTTATTGGTTGAGAACCCTCAGTTTCTTGTTCATCGGTAGTAGTACAAGTTGCTTGCCTCGTGGCTGCTTTCAACTGTTTCATCAAAAGTTCTCCCGTACCTGATTAGCCTCACGAATGCTAGTGATATTTTGAAGGCAGTCTCCAAGTTGTTTGGAGCTCACTCGAGTGCCAATATCTCTACTTTTAGGTATTCTCTTCACTCTCAGAAGAAGCGCGAACTCTCGGTTAGTGAATTCTTAGCCAGATCAAGCTCATTTACGATAAGCTTTACGCTGTTGATGTTGTTATCACAGAATATAAACATGTTAGTGTCAATCTTGTGGGACTTTTTATTGATTTTGAATTTTTTTTGCAATTGCTTCGAAGGAGACGATGACCTTGTCCACTCTAACGGACATATTTCTCGATTGTGAAGCAAGGCATAAGGAGTTTTTCAATAATAGTGCATTGGTTCATGCAAATGTTGCCTCACATATTGAGAATGATGGTTATGCTGGGAAGAAATCATCCGAGTTTCATCTATCCTTTGAATCGAAATATGTGTCTCAGAGAAATTGTGATGATGGTGGATGTGGTCACGGTCGTGGATGTTTTAATAATAAACCACAACGTCAGTTATGTGGAAAATATGGGCATCTAGTACAAAAGTGTTACTATTGATTTGATCATACGTTTCAGGGGCATTCCTCGAGAAACTCTCTCACAGATGGTAGAGTGATGATTGATAAACTCTGTTCACGTAGTGATGATTGATAAACTCTGTTCACGGTAGCCCGACAATTCTTACTCAGGTGTTTGACTCATGTGCTTTATCCAGCTGGATTTGTTGGGGTTGATGGTCTGATTTAGAGGTGTATTCAGTTCGGTTCCTTTTTCCAAAAATTGAACCAAACTGAAATAATAGATTTTTCAAAATTTCAACCGAAATCGAATGGTTAAAAAACCAAAAAAACAGAAACCGATTTTTAGATTCAGTGTTTTTAATGGTTCTGGTTTTTCGATTCGGTTCAGTTCGATTTATCGGGTTTTCAATGAAAAAAATCACTTGAAACTATAATTTTTATTAAAACAATTACCTATTCAGTTCAATATGGAACAAATGAGTTCCATATGGAAAACCCGAACTGAACCGAATCAAAAGAATTGAGACTTTAAACCGAACCGTATAATGGCAAACCGAGCTGAACCATTTTACTCGGTTTGTGTCGGTTTTTTGGTTTTCTCGATTTCATTGCTCAGCCCTAGTCTGAGTGCATTCAAGCCTTCTGCTATTTCTGTGAGGCCATATGTGACATAAAGTTTAGGCCCATATTCTGCTATGAATTCAAAGCCCTTGTTCATGCCTGATCAAGGTTTTAGGGTTTATGCCACTTTGGTTTTTTAAGGAATATCTTTAGGTGGCTCGTTATTCTTTAATTCTCCGTTGGGTGTTGGAACCAGTGGTTTTAATGCTAAGTTTGAAATTGGAAACGACGGTATTAATGCTTATATTTTCCATAAATCTGCTTACACCTCGCATGGGTTTGCTAGTTTTTCTCATCCTACGTCTGCTCCTATTATTTCGACTTCTCATATTCCTTTTGTCTCACAGTAACAGTCTCGTTCGGGGTTCTCATGTGCTTTTGCTTTCACCATGGATAAAGATGTTTGTTGGTATCCAAATTCTAGTGCTACGCATCACATTACCAACGATCGGGCCAATCTTTACTTGACATGCCTTATACAAGTAACAACTCTCTTCTTATGGGTAATGGTGAGGAAGTTTCAATCACTCATATTGAGCGTGGTAAGTTGGTTACTAAGTCTAGGGTTTTGCAGTTAGACAATGTTTTGTATGTTCATTCCATAAAGAAAAACTTACCTTCTATCTCACAATGCTTGTGAAAATGTTTTGTTTAATTTCACTCATCTGAGTGCCTTGTGAAGTATTCCCAGCCTCATGCTACGTTACTACGCGGGAAGCGCACTTCTGATGGGTTGTATAAATTTCAACCTCTGTTTTTCGAGGTTCATGATGTTGATGATCAGTGTGTGGAGAACAATACTATTTCCCAAACTCAAGGGTCTCTGGTAGTGTGGCATCAGCGTTTTGGTTCTAACATTTATTCCGGAAGCACCAAGTCTTATTGATCATAGACGGTTTAAGGTTGTTAAAATATGTTTTCGATTTTTTGCAGTCTCCTGATGAATTTATCAATATATGGGAGTGGTTATTGGTTTAGAACCCTCAGTTTCTTGTTCATCGGCAGTAGTACAAGCTGCTTGCCTCGTGGCTGTTTTCAACTGTTTCATCAAAAGTTCTCCCGTACCTGATTAGCCTCACGAATGCTAGTGATATTTTGAAGGCAGTCTCCAAGTTGTTTGGGGCTCACTCGAGTGCCAATATCTCTACCTTTATGCATTCTCTTCACTCTCAGAAGAAGCTCGAACTCTCGGTTAGTGAATTCTTGGCCAGATCAAGCTCATTTACGATAAGCTTTACGCTGTTGATGTTGTTATCACAGAATATAAACATGTTAGTGTCATTCTTGCGAGACTGTTTATTGATTTTGATTTTTTTGCTATTGCTTCGAAGGAGACGATGATCTTGTCCACTCCAACAGACATATTTCTCGATTGTGAAGCAAGGCATAAGGAGTTTTTCAATAATAGTGCATTGGTTCATGCAAATGTTGCCTCTCATAATGAGAATGATGGTTATGCTGGGAAGAAATCATCCGAGTTTCATCTCTCATTTGAATCGAAAGATGTGTCTAAGAGAAATTGTGATGATGGTGGATGTGGTCGTGGTCGTGGATGTTTTAATAATGAACCATAATGTCAATTATGTGGAAAATATGGGCATCTAGTACAAAAGTGTTACTATCGATTTGATCATACGTTTCAGGGGCATTCCTCGAGGAACTCTAGTACTGATGGTAGTCAGAGTGATGATTGATAAACTCTGTTCACGGTTGCTCGACGATTTTTACTCGGGTGTTTGACTCATGTGCTTTACTCAGTTGGATTTGTTGGGGTTGATGGTCTAAGTTAGAAGTGTATTCAGTTCGGTTCGGTTCGGTTTTTTACCAAAAATTAAATCGAACCGAAATAAACGATTTTTAAAAATTTAAACCGAAACTGAATGGTTAAAAAATCGAAAAAACTGAAACCGATTTTTTCGGGTCCGTTCGATTTTTTTAACGGTTCTGGTTTTTCAGTTCGGTTCGATTTATCGGTTTTTCAATGAAAAAATCACTTGAAACTATATTTTTTTTAAAAAAAAATTGCCTATTCGGTTTAATATGGATCAAATGAGTTCCATACGGAAAACCCGAACCGAATCAAAAGAATTGAGACTTTAAACCGAACCGGATAATGCCAAATCGAACTAAACCATTTTACTCAGTTCGTGTCGATTTTTCGATTTTCTCGATTTCGTTGCTCAGCCCTAGTATGAGTGCATACAAGCCTTCAACTATTTCTGAGAGGCCATGTGTGACATAAAGTTTAGGCCCATATTCTGCTATGAATTCAAAGCCCTTGGTTATGTCTGATCAAGGTTTTAGGGTTCATGTCACTTTGGTTTTTTAAGGAATCTCTTTAGGTGGCTCGTTATTCTTTAATTCTCTGTTAGGTGTTGGAACCAGTGGTTTTAATGCTAAGTTTGAAATTGGAAACGACGGTATTAATGCTTATATTTTCCATAAATCTGCTTACACCTCGCATGGGTTTGCTAGTTTTTCTCATCCTACATCTGCTCCTATTATTTCGACTTCTCATATTCCTTTTGTCTCACAGCAACAGTCTCGTTCGGGGTTCTCATGTGATTTTACTTCCACCATGGATAAAGATATCTATTGGTATCCAAGTTTTAGTGCTACACATCACATTACCAACGACCGGGCCAATCTTTACTCTGACATGCCTTATACAAGTAACAACTCTCTTCTTATGGGTAATGGTGAGGAAGTTTCAATCACTCATATTGAGCGTGGTAAGTTGGTTACTAAGTCTAGGGTTTTGCAGTTAGACAATGTTTTGTGTGTTCCTTCCATAAATAAAAACTTACCTTCTATCTCACAATTGACTCGTGAAAATAATGTTTTTGTTGAATTTCATTCATCTGAGTGCCTTGTGAAGGATTCCCAGCCTCATGCTACGTTACTACGCGGGAAGCGCACTTCTGATGGGTTGTATAAGTTTCAACCTCTGTTTTTTGAGGTTCATGATATTGATGATCGGTGTGTGGAGAACAATACTATTTCCCAAACTCAAGGGTCTCTGGTAGTGTGGCATCAGCGTTTTGGTTCTAACATTTATTCCGGATGCACAAAGACTTTTTGATCATGGACAGTTTAAGGTTGTTGAAATATGTTTTCGATTTTTTGCAGTCTCCTGATGAATTTATCAACACATGGGAGTGGTTATTGGTTTAGAACCTTCAGTTTCTTGTTCATCGGCAGTAGTACAAGCTGCTTGCCTCGTGGCTGCTTTCAACTGTTTCATCAAAAGTTCTCCC